TGTTTTCAAATTAAATTAGTATTGCTCGTATCATCGTCTAACGCAGACGCCTGTTGTAAAAGCATTTCAATATGGAGATTTTAGACGATATCGAAGCAGCGTGTGTTCTTTATGCATTATACGAAAATAATGAATTAAATAAAAAACCAAAACCAAAAAAACAGAGACGCCATTGGGAACATCCGCTGAACCTTAAACGGCCACAAGAAGGTCAATTTCAGGTCACATTCATGGCATTACGCAGTTATCCAGAAGAGTTTGTTAAGTATTACCGAATGTCAATTGCATCATTTGATGAGCTGGTAAGAACATTTATATAATTTATTAGCCGTATTGGTTTTTAATAGTCATATAATTTATATAATATATTTATATTAATATAATATGGATATTAAATTATAATTATATATTTATATTATTATTAAAAACCAATATACTATAGGTATTAGGTACTTACTTAAAAACCAATATAATGTAGTATGCCTATTTACCTGTATATATTATACATATTATATTATTGATAAAAAATAATTTGTTCAGATATCATTGATTAGACTACCTTTGACCAAACAAGAAACTGGTTTACGAGTACCAATCTCTTCAGAAGAAAGACTTACTGTTACACTGAGGTAATAAATACAAAACTTTATTTATTATAGGTACTTATTTATTTAACTTTTCATTTTACATACTATTAAAATGAACGTGGTCCATAAGATCCGTCAGGTGGAGTAGTTGGTGAAGAAGCATAATTATACAACATGTTTGGTTGGTGAATTTGACTGTCTGGCGATGTAGTGGTTGAAGTAGTATATTCAAAATGTGGAGACGGGTTATGGAGATCCCGGGAATAGTTTGAATAAGAATGATTATGTGGTATCGTTTGTACATGCGCTGCTGTAGGAATATAAGATGTACGTTTAATTCTTTGTATGGCATTCAGAAATTCAACGTAAAGTTGGGTTTTTTGATCTTCGGTTAGTGTTTTAATTTGTGGTAGGAGGGACATTAAAAAAGATTTTTCAGGATCATCTGGCACTCGTTGTCTATTTTCCAAAATACTTAATAAATTTTCTCCAAAACTTGGTGGAGATTTTAATGTTGTCTTTTGGCGTTTTTTGGACTTCCCAGTATTTTGGATTTCACAGTCACTATTTTCCATAACTTCATTAATGTTTTCTTCCATCACCTTGGAAGAACAACCTGTTCCGTGGTCCTCTAATCCTCCATCGCTACCGTCACTTTCACTTCCTTCAATATTACTTTCAGTCCTGTTATTTATATAATATTTTATATTAAAATCTACAATAAATTTTTTGGTGTGCTTACTTAAAAAAAAAAAAATCTATTATTCTGTAATATTTCTATTACTAGGTATCAACATTTTAACAGCATAAGATTTATATAAAAAAAAGCGGGTAAGTGGGTATCGCTCTGTTGTACATTAGGTGCCGTATGGTCGTATGGATCACTATTATATATTACAGAAGTGTTAAATTTGAATGTAATGATAGGTATCATTGCATACAAAAAAAGATTCTGAACGGAGATGATTTTGACGAATTTTAGTCAATATTTGAACTTCAAATGTTAATAAAAAAAAATCGTGCCAATGTATTCTTTAATCATTATAAGAATAACTTATGAGAAAGTTTGTAATAAATTTTCAAGTATTTTGACTCATCCAAAAAAATTTATCGACACTTCGAAAAATAAATTATCAGAAAAATCGAAAATACAGTTGTCTATAAATAGCCCAAAAAATTCACAATATTTTGAAAATTAAATCATGTAAAGAAAATACCATTCTAAATAACTGGTCCCGTTTTTCCGTCACTTGATTTTTTTTGAAAACTGTCGGAAAATGTTTAATTTTCACCTCTATAATGCACCAAGGATATTCACTTTGTTATTGGAAACCACCCCCGAAGTTTGAAATTGAAGCATTATTTCGACTAGTTATGCTGTACTGATTGTACACAGACAATAAAAAAAAAAACACACATCATTGTAAAATCAATACATTCATCACTCCGTTCAGAATCTAAAAGTGAATAAAGTCACTGTAATGGATGTGTTAAATTTATAGGCAGTGTTGAGCGTTGTTCGAATGAAATTTTATTTATATGATTATTTAGATGACATTTTATTCGAATGATTTTTTTTTATATATATAAAATCTATATATATATATATGTAAAAACATATATACACAAATATGCTCCTCGCATTCGTGAAGCGTCAGAACAAGCTGCAGTATTTAAAATTATATTATAAAAAATCAATAAAACGTTTGATTAATAAAATATTAAAAAAAAATTAATTTAGTTTAATATATAACAGAATAATTATTAATGTTATTATTAACTAGAAGATTTATAAATTATAATCTCATTACCATTATATGATACATATTTTGTACTAGTATAATTTTTATTCAAATAATATAATTTTGAAATTATCAAAATAATTTGTATTCGAATAATAACTTTGAAAAATATCCGAATAATAATGTTTGAAAATTATTCGAATTATTTTCACATATTATTACATATTTATTCGAATAGTTATCTAGATAAAATTTTGCCCAACTCTGTTTATAGGTATATGAAATTGTCACTAAATTCAATCCTTAGCTATACAAATTGAACATTTTATAAATTGTTAACTACAAAATAACAATTAAATTTAAAATTTAAAATTTGAAATTTTTTTTTGAAATTCGAACTTTAAATATTTTTCAACTGCCATTGTAACAATATTTACTAGGAGTCTTATTGTATTAAATTTTCATTCTTTTTAATCCAAAGAATACAATTCCATATATACTATTAATTATCTATTATACATTTATATACAATAATAATATACATTTATTTATACAAAAATATATGTACAGGATGATTTTTTTATCATGAACCACTCAATATTTCAAAAAGTATTGATTTTTTTGAAAATTTTTTTTACATAGTTTCAAGTTTTTAAACAAATACGTTTTTACTAAAAAAAATATTTATTAATATATATTTATTAAATATTTTTATCCTTAGTTTTTTTTAAGTTTTTTATTTTTTTGAACGACAACATAAAGTTTTAAGTATTATAAATTTTGACAGGTGGAGTAGTGGAAAAACATTTTGCGGTGTAACCCGTACCACTCCACTCCGCTCATCTAAACTTTAAATACTTTTAAATCATAAACTACTCGCCCTAAATTCGACTATTATGCATCAAAATACTTAGAAAAATATTCCGCTTTGGAATATGAAATTAAAACTTTATGTTGTCGTTCAAAAAAATAAAAAACTTAAAAAAACTAAGGATAAAAGATATTTAATAAATATATATTGATATATTATATTAATAAATATTTTTTTTGTAAAAACGCAGTTTTTTTAAAAACTTGAAACTATGTAAAAAAAATTTTCAAAAAAATCAATACTTTTTGAAATAATAAGTGGTTTATGATAAAAAAATCACCCTGTATATTGAAATTATTAACTACCGATTAGGTTAATCTTTAATGGATCCATTTGTTACTTTTAAATTAATTATAAATTATGCTTACACACGATTTTGCATTGTGGGTCGTAAAAACTCCAATATGTTGCCGTAAACATATTTGTTTTGTTTTACATTTGCTTGACCTGATTTTGTAACGCATTTTCTTCTATAACTATCCCTGAACGATTTCCATTTTTTTTGTAACTCCTGGACTGTATGAATATTGATTTAATTTTAATATAATGAAAAACTTTTTGGCTATTTTAGTCCAGCTGACATGTTTAGCGACTTTGTCGTGGTATAATTTTGATTCTAAATAAATCGGTATATATTAATATAATATATATTGGGTAATCATTCCAAATACAATTGAAATAGGTGGAGGTACGTATCATGTACACATATAAGTATCTATTAACCAGTTTTAAACAAATAACGAAAATAATGAACGTAACTTAGTTAATTAAAATTATAACATTATCTTCATTGGAGAAAAGAGGAAAAGTGGATATCGCTCTGCTGTACAGTACGTTAGAAGTGGGTTACTGTAATGGATGGTATTAAATTTGTATACAATGATATAATATCATTGTATACAAAAAATGATTCTGATCGGAGACGAGTTTTCAGTCTAGGATATTTTATGATATATTAATTATATTATTTTAAAAAAAAATGTAGGTAAAACAAATTCCAAATTAATCAAATTAGATTTATTATGTTACGTGGAACCTTGTATCAAATTTTCAAACCTTAGCTATAAAAGTTAAAAATTTTATACATTTTTAACAACTAAAGAATTTGTAAATTTTCAGTTAAACAAATTTTGTCAAAATTTGAACTTTAAATGGTTATAAAAAACAATTTGTGCATATGAATTTTTATTATTTTCAAACTGCTATTATATTAACTTATGAGGAACCTTGTACTATGAATTTACACATGATAAATAACTCGAAACTTACCTATATTCCATATGCTTTCCTCGTTAAAAACTTCAATAATGAAAGCTTCGATATCGAACATTGTATATGAATTATGAATACGTGAATCATCAATGAAATGTAAAACACAAATGATGAATGAAATCGTAAAATATAAAATAAACGCGACGTTTCGGCGGGTAAAACGCCCAATGTGAATAATAACATTGGAAATACATGGTTTAATTTTAGAGCGTTCGTGCGATCAGACGCCCAAAATTAAACCGGCGCGTTTCAACGTGATCGAACGCGGCAGAACGCGCGCATATTTTATCAGTGTGAATATAACCATAAATAAACGGCTGTTTTATTTTAAGCGATCAAATCGCGTCGTTCGAAACGCGCGGACGCGCGCGTTCGAATCGCCTAGTGTGTAATGCACTTTAAATATTATCAGTACTATTATATAGTATATTTATTATTTTATGATAATAATATATTTGTTGTACTTTTTTATTGCCAATATTTTAATAGTGCATTACATTTATTTATTATAAAAGATAAATTACCAAAATGCCTAGGCGGTGTAGTGTAGATCAATGCCATATTATGAAAAACAAAATTAAATGTACATTGTTCAAAGCACCAAAAGATGTTAATATTTTAACAGCATGGAACGAAGCTGTCTCTAAAGCTAATGGTAAAAGTTCCATTGCTCATTATGTTTGTCAAAATCATTTTTCAGCTGCAGATTTAATAAGTGTATATAACAACTATCCAAGAGATTTAAATGTACCTATGTTAAATTTTATATTTATGCAATTTATGATCTATTTTACAATCAAGTTACTATTAATTGTAGTCAGTATGTAACTTAGCAATTTGTATTTTGTAGTGTTGTAAAGGTAATTTTTAAAAGTATTTAAAATATTACTCAAACTACTCAAATATTTTTCATACTTAATATATACCTACTATTAAACCAAGAGAAGTATTTAAGTATTAAAAACACTACAAAGTGCAAGGGAATTGATACTACCAAAATAAATTATGATTTACTCTTATAATATAATGAATTACAGACTAATGAAATTGGTCAACGTAAAATATGTTCTTTAAAAAAAGGTGCCATTCCATCAATTTTTGAGAGTTTGTTTGAATGTCATTCACAAAATGAAATCTTTAATAATATTGAACAGGTAAAGTATTCTTCAAATAGATAGTAGGTAATTATTATTTTTACTTATATTTTATTAACTAGGTATGTATATATTTTAGTTGCTTCCGAATGACAAAGAACACAAACAAACTTGCAAGAGAGAGTTATTATGGAAAGATAATTCACCAAAACAGTTATCCAGTATTGTTGATGTGGTGAATAGTGTTTTTAGTTATTATATTACCTATTAGCATTTACATCCATTCTAACTTATTTGCTATATTTTATTTTATAGAAAGATACACATGTAGATCAGGATAACAATGAAAGTGCAGTACTTAATAATTTTTATGATGTATTTACTACCTATACAAATATTAAGTTACCAGTTGGTTGGTCATCTTTTAGAAGTGGGAAAGCTGTGACATTTTATTCAATACAACATACAAACAATAATATTCAAAAACTTATAAGTGTCATTGATAAACAAATAACAATCACTTCAGAACTTGAAATTGGATTTTATGTTTTGAACAATTATGAAATAAAATATGATGACATTGGTCTTGACACAAAATTAACGTTTCCACTTATCATAAAAGATTTTGAAAAGTTAATTGAAAACTTTAATAAAAAAGTTATATGCTATGGTGGTCCCAATGCATCAAATTTTCCTGGTAATGGTACCTACTTATTAAATGTATTTTGTAATTCATTAGGAAATTTAAAAAAAATCTATTCTATTTTTTGCCTTAGGCATAAGAGTTAAAACTGCATCATTAGGTTTCAACAATTAATGGCGTCATATAGAATGTGCAATAATAATTAAATCTGGAAAAAGGTGTACATTTTGTGAACGTTTATTTTCATCATTTAGAGGATATAAAAAAAAAAAAAAATAGGACCCTTTCTAACTCCTAATAGTAGAGAAAAATATTTAAATATCTTAAAAGTAAAAAAAAAACTACTGAAATCAAATTCAAGGTAAATATCAGATTGTTTATTACTCTCATCAGGTCATTATGGAATTTTGAATGCATCTATAAAGAATAAATAAATACCTGATACACATAATAAACTAAATATATGTATATATTATAAATAAATAATATATTGTATGTCAATATTGTATGAGTACTTATAAGTTATACCTTATAAAATTGTTTAGATTGCAGACAAGTATAAACAAATTAAATACTCAATTGAACAATATTCACAAAAGAACTAGAGAAATGAGTGACTCAGCTGTTAGCAATGTTCTGAACAAGTTAAGTGAATCTCAAAAAACGATTATTAATGAAATAATTACTGTAAGTAAGGTAGATAATCCCAAGAGTAGAAGGTATACAGAAGATTGGATTTTATTATGTGTTTTATTGAAAATCCGGTAAGAACTAAAATATATTATTATACCTACTTTTACTAATTATTAATATAATAAAATGTGACTTATATAATAATATATTCTTAGATCTCCATCTACCTATACCTTTTTGAGAGAGCAAGATATATTACCATTACCGTGTACACGAACAGTTAGGAAATATCTTTCTCTTATAAAAACAAAATGTGGTTTTGATGAGAAATTTTTTCAACTCCTAAAAAAGAAGCTAGCAATGTTATATCCACAACAGCGACATGGAATGCTTATCTACGATGAAATTATATTACGAGAGAGTATTGACGTAGATTCTAAATCGTTAACCTACATTGGATTAGAAGATTTTGGGGAAGATATGGAAAGCACTGGATTAAAAGCAAACCATGGCTTTGTCTTTATGTTTCAAAGTTTATGTACTAATTTTTCCCAACCGATAGCTGTATTTGCTTCCAGAGGACCCGTGAAAGGTTTATTTGTTTGTTCCAATGAAAGACTAAGATATACTTTGTCAAATATCTTATTCAGTGGTTTACTGTGTGTTTTTTATTTTTGTATGTTAATAATTGATTGGTACATGTTTAGTTTGATTTAATTTGTGGTGATAATTAATGTGTTTTACTTGTTTTCCTTATATTTAGTAGTGCTTATAATATTTGTCTTAGTTTATTACTGATAGGTTTGTAACAAGCCTATATTTTAATAATTTACAGTTTTTATTGCAAATAGCTAAACAAACAAAAAAATGTTCTATTCTTCTAAGTTCTATTTATGTGGTTGTGTTCTGTATGCATTTATGTGAGTTTTTAAATACACTTTTTTCAAATATTTTTTTTTTAATTAATCTTATTATTCTGCTTTAGGTATGGTTCTTGCTCAGTTGGTAATAAAGGCTATTTCTATCCTTGAAAACTCTGGAGCAAAAATTGTTGGTATTGTTTCTGATGGTGCCTCAACAAATAGAAAATTATGGGTAGAATTAGGAATATCTGGTTCAATGGACTGTATGCAAAATTCTATTATTCATCCTTCAGATGATTCCAGACAAATATTCATGTTTTCGGATGCACCACATTTGATAAAGAATGTGAGAAACCGATTACTTAACAAAAATTATTGAGAGTGAGTTGTTTTTAAAATTTTAAAAATATTTGAATAATAATACATAATTTTTTTTTTTTTTTATAGATTTCTCAACAAAAACCGTTTGTAAGGTGGAGTCATTTTATTGATGTATTTGAAAATGAAAATAAAAGAAGTTCTACGGCTCCAACTAAAATTTGTCCTAAAATCACAAAAAGACATTTATTTGTAGATAACTTTTCAAAAAAGAGTGTTAAATTAGCCACCCAAGTAATAACTAATAGCGACAAAAATATTTATGTAGTTCAAATTTGAATATATTTAGTATTTATTTTTTAATTCATTTTAGGTTTTAAGCGATTCAATGGCCAAAGGCATTGAGTTTTATAGAGATCATGAGAAAGTTGAGTCATTAAAAAACAGCAGTGAAACACAGAAATTTGTAGATATTTTTAATAGAACATTTGACGCACTGAATTCCAAGTATCCAGCTGAGGGAATACGAAATAACAGCCATGATTTTGATGTTTGTTTTAAATAAGATTGAATCTAAATATGTAAAATATTTACAATGATTATTATTTTAGGTTTTAGAAGAGACTTATGCTTGGCTCAATTCTTGGGAAAATTGTGTGAAGAATAAGCTTATATCAGAAGATGAATATCTCACAAAAAATACGTCTGATGGCTTGAGGGTTACTATAAAATCGACCATAGAATTATCTAAATATTTGTTGAAAGATTGTGGTTATAATTATGTGTTGTCATCTAAAATGAATCAAGATCGATTGGAAGTAAGTGAACTTAAAATTAATTTAAATGTTCTAGTATAATTATTAGTAGGTAGTACCTATTTTATAATATAAAATTAATTTACTTGTATAGCAATTTTTTGGAATGTCGCGGCAAGCCACTGGTCCAAACGATCATCCTACGACCCCAACATTCTTACAAATATATAAAATGTTATCTATTTATTCAATATTAAAGACTCCAAAAACAGGCAATTGCAAATTTCTTGAAAAAAATACACCAAAAATAACAATAAATGAGTTAAAGAGTATATTTGTCAATGATGACAAATTAGTTGAAGGGGATAAACTTTTAAAACTAAAAGAAAAGTTGGATATAATTGTAAAAGAAGGCAAATGGGAAACAGAAGACATTTTTGAAAACGATATTCATAACTATTGCACTCCTAATAAAGCAGAAGTTACAGATTGTGTTATTTATTATATTAGTGGTTTTGTGTGTCGGCATATATTAAAACATACAGATTGTCATGTATTTTATTTTTATTTTATTTATTTATTTTATCGACGCCTCAGGGGCATAAGTATAGTACAGATTATAATTATGGATTATACATAATATAACAAGGTAAGAAAAAAAAGAACATTGGTGCATGAGTAAAGAATAAATTAATGAAAATATTAACAAGTACAATTTTTAAGTTTAAGAATTAATGATGGCAAAGAATCATTAAAAATATCAATATTTGACATACTATTAATAGATCGACAAGCACGATCAAGAGGGGCTGCGTACCCATAGTTAGTGGTGTGAAAATTCGTTTTAAAAGTTTGGGGATTTCTGGAATAAAAAGAAGGAACTGCTAAAGATAATTTAGCAAGTAAATCAGGAGCATCAATATCATTGTTCAATAATTTGTAAATAAAGGTAACATCAAATTAAACACGTCTATCAGTTAGAGATTTAAAAGTATACGGGTTAATCCCGCACCAAAAAGTGCTCATTTTTATAAATTTATTTTGTACTTTATTTATACGATTAATATGTAATTGTTGATGGGGTGACCAAATAATAGCAGCGTATTCAAGAATTGAACGGACTAGTGACATATATAGAGTATTCAATGCGTTAATATTAGAGAAACCGATGGTGTTACGATTTAAAAACCCAAGTATTTTATTGGACTTATTACAAATGTAATTAATGTGGTCATTAAACGAAAGGTCGGAAGAGAAAATAACACCTAGATCTTTTATAGTGGATACTGGGACAAGGTGATTCGAATTAATAGAATATTGGAAGTTGATATACGAGCGAGTACGAAAAAATGATATATAATTACATTTGTTAATGTTTATTGATAAACCATTATCAGTGCACCATTTATAAAATTTAACTAAGCAACTTTGTAAATCTAAGCAACTAGATGTGTTGTTAATAACATTAAAAATTTTCAAGTCATCAGCAAAGAGCAAAAATTTACAGTTAGAAAAGCATTGGGACACATCATTAATAAAAATGTTAAATAACCACGGAGAAAGGTGGGCACCTTGTGGGACACCAGAGGTAACGGAAATGGGAAAAGAAGAATAATTATGAATTTTAACAATTTGGGTGCGGGAGGAGAGGTATGATTTGAACCATGTTAATAATGGATCCGATACACCATACAGTTTTAACTTATTTACTAGGGAAGTATGATTAACGCTATCGAATGCTTTTTTGAGGTCAGTGTATATAACATCAACCTGTAAACCTGATTCAATTGCCTCTAACAGAAAAGAATGAAAGGAGAGAAGGTGTGTTACAGTAGATCGACCAGGTCTAAACCCATGTTGTTCATTAATAAAAATATTTTTGAAATAGTAGTTAATTTTTGTAGCAAGAATTTTATCAAAAAACTTAGGGATTGCAGATAAAATAGAAATAGGTCTATAGTTTTCGACATTAGATCTGTCACCCGATTTAAAAATAGGTTGAATGTAGCTAGATTTCCATAATGTAGGAAAAGAGCTAGAAGATAAAGATAATTTAAAT